AACTTACTATTCTGGAGTTAGATTTGTATAGCTCGCAGCGCGAAGCGCCGCGCACACCTTGAAATTACATGCGGACCAACTTACTCCCAGCGGCCGTGGAAAGCAACTTTGAGTACATTTTTTTTCACTTTACACTTACTCCTGAAAATTTCCTTCTCTGCCTATCCTATTTCTTCACCTCCGAAACACTACAACCACCGTTTTCGTAGGACAAAATACTGGGAATAGAGGTATATGCGTGGGACTACATAAGCTACCTTTGCCGATGCGACTCAATGACAGTCCAAACACGACCCACCTTATTGTCTTTTCGTGGAGCCCTGGAAACTACTGACACTTTGTAGCAGCCGACGCCGTTTAACGTATTCATGCATTCAATGTCAGTAAGAATATGAAGGAAGAGAAAGAGCGCGGTTCATAAGGCAACCTATAAGTAGGGATGATTTGAGTGTCAATTCATTCGACACAAAGTGTGCCTAGGTCAAGGCAAACCCATTGCGGGTTGCCACTACAAGCGAACATGCGGGTCTGCTATTGTTTCTGCTGATATCTCTGAGGAAGGATCCACGGGGATTTCGAAAAGTCAGGCGAATAAAACTCTTGTCCGAGAAATCGCATCTTTTTCTTCTCGATTATTTCCTGGGACTCGCGTGTTCGCTTTTATTGGCAAGACCCATTTGTGCTAATGTCTCTGACGAAGGACCCGCGACGAATTTCGAAACGTCAGGCGAGTAAAGCTCTTGTCCCAACGAGCACGTCATCATAATCCTCATTATTTTCTCAAACTTTGTGTTAGGAGGTACAGGCAAACCGAGCATATATATATATCAATGCTGGAATATCGTTCTTGTCTAATCCGACTGTCCTCTTCTTTCCTCTAGCCGCAAAAGGTAAGGGCCAAGAATACAAAATTGCTCTCCATCTGCGTCTGGATTCAGAGGACCCTGTTGCAGTGCGATGCTGTCTCTCTGCATTTCTCAATCCCTACAGCGAGGAAGTAGAGTACATTGTCTGCACAGTAATTTCAATGAAGTGAGTCGTCTCTTCTCTTTACAGCTTATTACTGCTGTTTTTGCATGTCTCAATGTCTCAAAATGTCTCAATTACTGCTCAAAGTCTCTCTCATGGCGAAGGCTAGTGAGGAAAATATGAATTCCTTGTGTACTTCTTTCAGGGCAATCCGGCCTCCTTGTCGGGGCTCAGGTTGCCTCGGCGTTGGACTGACTTTCATTCAGAAACCTCATCCGCGTAGGCCACGGAATACATTAGACCAAACTGATCTCAAGGTGGCTGAAAGAATGGTTTTCACTTTCGTACCTCTGCGGTTACAATCCCATATTGATTGCCGTCCTGATAGTATGTGCATTGACACTCGTTGATGAACGTACACTGACCGCTAGCAGCAGCCGTAGTGACTAATAGTCTAGGCAGAAATTATTGCCGGCAAAGACAAGGGGGCTCGAGCCTCGGGTTAGACGCCACTTGGGGTTGGCCGGCTAACGACGGCTTATATGTCCGAAATGGCCATTCCAGTCTCCCTTGTCTTTGCCGGCAATACTATCTGCCTAGGCTACTACCTGAATTCCTTAATAGATATTGGCTTTATTATTT